TTAATTAATTAATTAATTAATGCATTTGTTAATTAATTAATTAATTAATTAATTTATTTATTTATTTATTTATTTATTTATTTATTTATTTATTTATTTGCAGTCCCTCTGCATCCTCACGTGTACAGCAACGGCGACATTTGTTTGAATTTGCTCGGAGAGGACTGGCACCCGTCTTTAAGTGTATTTTCTTTGTCTCTCTCTCTGCTCTCAATGCTCTTATCGGCGAAAGATAAAACACCTCCTTCAGACGACTCGTTTCGTAAGCTGTATACGCAGCTCTCTATCTCTTTATCTACTCAGCTGTATACGCAGCTCTCTATCTCTTTACCTACTCAGCTGTATACGCAGCTCTCTATCTCTTTACCTACTCAGCTGTATACGCAGCTATATATCTCTTTATCTACTCAGCTGTATACGCAGCTATCTATCTCTTTATCTACTCAGCTGTATATGCAGCTCCTCATCTCTTTATCTACTCAATACTTATATTTATCTTATTATTATTATTGTTATTTTTATTTTGTTTTTTTTTGTTTTTGTTTGCTTCAGATGCTGCTCTCCCGCCTGGCTCCCGCGATGTGCAATTCTTATATCACGATGAACGCCTATAAACGCAGCAGCAGCAGCTGCTGCAGCTGCAGCAGCTGCAGCAGGAGCGGCAGCAGCAGCAGGAACGACAGCGGGAGTGACAGCAGAAGATTTGGAAGCAGCAGAAGCAGCGCTGACAACAATGGTGGCGGCTGCTGCAGCAGTAGTTGCAGCAGAAGTTGCTGCAGCAGAAATTGCTGCAGCAGAAGCAGCAGCATCACCAGCAGTGGTGCTGGTAGTTGCTGCAGCAGCAGTCGCTACAACGGCAGTTGCTGCAGCAGCAGCAGCATTATCATCATCAATAGATGCAGCAGGGACAGATAAAACGGCAGCTGCAGCAGCGCCTCGGAGTCTTTCAGGCTTCATACCCTGGGGCGACTTGCTACTGCTGCTGCTGCTGCTGCTGCTGCTGAGTTTCGTTTTAATTGTTACTGGCTTATTTTATGTTTGGTTTAAACAAAACAGAAGGGGATAAAAGTTAAGAGAATTGAAATAGACCTCAAAACAGCCGTGTGCTGTTGCTGTTGCTGCTGCTGCTGTTGTTGTTGTTGCTGCTGCTGCTGTTGTTGTTGCTGTTGCTGCTGCTGTTGTTGTTGTTGCTGCTGCTGTTGCTGCTGCTGCCGTTGCTGCAGAGAATATTCACTTGGGGGTGTTTGCTGCTGCTCATACACCGGGCGCAGAGGAGCACAGCCAAAGCAATAACGACTCAAGGGTTTAGGGTTTAGGGTTTAGGGTTTAGGGTTTAGTCGAGCTGAAGTATTGCGAGGTCCTGTGCTGCTAAGCAGCAACCCCAGTGCAACAGCAGCAGCAGCAACAGCAGCTACCACTATCTCTTTATTGCCGAGAGGGTTTGTACGTATAATGAAGTAAACCTGTATTTCTCTCTCTCTCTCTGTCTCTCTCTCTCTCTCTTTTTTTGTTTGTTTGTTTCTTTCTTTCTTTCCGTTTGTTTGCATGCGGGTTTTTATTTGTTGTTATTTGCTGCTGCTGTTTGTATTTTATGTCGGCTTTACACTAATAGCATTACTTCCTTGTTGTCTGTACTTCTTCTTTTGTATTGTAATATAAATTGTTTTTTATAAATGGAATTATTTCGCTTTATAAAAATTTAATTCTTCTTCGGGTGTCTGTACAGTCCAGAGTTGGCTGTGGTCACCTCAGTGGCATTTCTTCTTCTGCTCCTCCACTTGAGAAAATTTGAATTAAAAATCTAAATTTAAATCATTTTTAAATGAATAAAAACCATTATTAATATAAAAATTCAATTAGAAAGGGAAGGCATTCAAACCCTAAACCCTAAACCCTAAACCCTCGCGGTGGTCACCCGCACACACCAGCGGTATAGGAGAGGCTTTGGGGTATTTTACTGCGTCTAAGGGCTGAAATAAGTTTATTTTTTGTCTTTTTTAATTCTTTTTTGAATTAAAATATTAAAAAGAAGGTATTTTTTGCATTTATTCCCCCGAAGACTGACGAAGGAACCCCCTTGTGCTGATGTACATCCTCAACCCCCGTATATAATATGTATATTATGCATTATATGCATACACCTTGAGAGGTTAAAGTAAAGAAAAGAAGAAAAAAACAAATAAAAGCATTTCTTATTCTTATTTTTGCTGCAGTTTGATTGACTTTTTAATTTTTTTTTAATGGCGCTCTTTGCTGCTTTTGTTCGTTTGCCTCCCTTCCTCTTCCTCTTGCTGCTGTGGGGCCCCCTGTCTTCACTTTTGTTGCTGCCGATTGCATGCAGCAGCAGCACCACCAGCAGCGGCAGCAGCAGCACCAGCACCAGCACCAGCAGCAGCAGCAGCAGCAACAGCAGCAGCAGCAACAGCAGCAGCAACAGCAGCAGCAGCAACAGCAGCAGCAGCAGCAGCAGCAGCAACAGCAGCACGAGTCGACGTTTAGGTGCATCTACACCTGGGCTGCGATCGCAGCCGCTGATTCATTTCCCACTCTCCAGCGCCTCTACTTATTTTGCAGATAGGACCAATGCAGCAGCAGCAGCAGCAGCAGCAAACTACCCTGCTGCTGTCTTCTTAAATGAAGACCTGTCGCCCCTGGAGGCGTACACAGCGCTACCTGCTGCTGCCGCTGCTGCAGCAGCAACAACAGCAGCTACAGAAGCAGCACAAGCTGCAGCAACAGCAGCAGCAGATGCAGCACATGCTGCAACAAATGCAGCAACGGGAGCTGCGGAGGCAGCAGCAGCAGCAGCGCAGCAGCTGCTGAGCTCAGCAGCAACACCAGCAGTAACACCCCTTCTAGCAGCAAAACCCGGTTCCTTGTCTTTGTCTCCTCAGCTGCAGCAGCAGCTGCTGCAGCGACTAATCCCTCCTGCCCTACGACAGCAGCAGCCGGTTGCTGCTCAGCATTCCATTGGCGAAGTAGCAGCAGCAGCAGCTGCTGCTGCTGCTGCAGCAACTGAGGAAGCAGCACGGGGCCTTCTTCCAGGTGTACGTACACCCCAGGACCTGCTGCTGCAGCTGCAGCAACTGCTACGTGCAGCTTATTATACATCTGAAGAAGCAAATAAAATAGCAGAAGATTTTATCTCCTACAGATTAACACATCCTCACGACTCCTGGGTAGAGGCCCTAGACTCCTTCGAGCGAGCAGCAAAAGAGCTGAGGCAGCAGCAGCAGCAGCAGCAGGGGGAGGGGGTGCAGCAGTCGCAGCAGAACCTGCAGCAGCTGCAACAACAACTACGGCAGCAGCTGCAGCAACAACAAATATACCAGCAGCTTCGCCAGCAGCAGCAAGAAGGACTGCAGCAAAAGCAGCGGCAGCAACCACAGCAACCACAGCAGCAGCAACACTACCAACTGCAGCAGCAGCAGCAGCAACAGCAGCAAGATTCAACGCTGCAAGTGACGCAGCAACAACACCAGGAACTGTTGCAACTGCACCATGAGCTGCAACAGCAGCATCAGCAGCTCCTGCAGGCACAACTGCACCAACTGCTACAGCAGCAGCAGCAGCAGCAGCAGAAGCAGCAGCAGCAGCAGCATTCGGGTATTCTTAATCATACCACAACCGCTCGCGTACTGCAGCAGCAGGAGCAGCAAGACAAGCAGCAGAATGCGCAGCAGCAGAATGGGCTGCAGAAGCAGAATGAGCAGCAGCAGCAGCAGCAGCAGCAGCAGCAAGATAAGCAGCAGCAAAGCGAGCAGCAGCAGCAGCAGCAGCAAGTGGACGTGAAAGAGCAACAGCTAGGTGAAGAGGAGCAGCAGCAGCACGACAAAGGGCAGCAGCAAAAGCAGCAGCACGTACAGGGCGACGAGCAGCAGCAGCAGCAGCAGCAACAACAAAAACAACAGCAGCAGCAACAGAAACAGCAGCAGCAGAAGGAAGCGACTCTGCCTGTTCCCCCCCGCCGTCTGGGTGCACTGGCTGCGTTTGGCGGTGCTCTCCTGCGGCGCCTCAGCAGCAGCAGCAGCAGCAGCAGCAGCAGCAACAGCAGCAGCAGCAGGGCACTACGACGGGAGCGAGCGCGTATACGTGGTGTCGTAATGAGTGAAGCAGAAGGAGGGTTTGGAGTGTTGGGTAGTGGGGTGCGAGAAGTGAAAGGCGGGGCTTCTGCTGCTGCTGCTGCTGCTTCGCTGCTGCAGCCTCGCAGGGATGAGCTGCAGCAGCTACTCTCTCGCATTGTTGCTGCCCCCTCATGCATTCTGGACAATGTTCGTATAGCAGGTCTCCCTGCAGAAGTAGATAAAAGAAGCAGCCTTAGTTCTTGTCAAGCTTCATGCCGAGCTGCTCAGCTGCTTGCAGCAGCAGCAGCAGCAGCAGCAGCAGCAGCAGATCCCCAAAGTATGCAAAGTATGCGTGTTATTCCTCAGCCCTGCCACTTCATATCTTTTAGTTTGTATAATAATCTCTGCTATAAATACAGCACATTAAGCAGCACTCAATCTGCTTCAGGCTTCATATCTACTTCAGCTAACTGCCCTATTCCTGCTGCTGCTGCTGCTGCAGCTGCTGCTGCTGTGCCTACCGCGGGGGGAGATGATGCTGCAGCACAAGCAGCAGAAGAAACAAATCCAGCAGCGTTTGCTGCTAGTACTCAGCAGCAGCTGCAGCAAGATCCGCTGCTTGAAGGCAATGCTCATGAAGTAGTTAACGACATCTTAAGCTTTTTCTTTCCTCCTGCTGCAGCAGCAGAGACTCAGCTGCTGCTCCTTGAAGCAGCAAATACGCCCCCACTTGACACAGATCCAGCAGCAGCTGCTGCAGCAACAGCAGCAACAGCAACAGCAGCAGAAAGCGCAGCAGCAGCTACCAGTCCATCCTTCTTTGATCAGTGGGGGGCCCCTGCAGCAAAGCAGCAGCAGGAGCAACCGCAACAGCAGCAGATGCAGCTGCAACAGGCGCAGCAGCAGCTGCTGCTGCAGCAGCTGCTGCAACAGCAGCAAGCATTGGATTCTGCTGCTCTCCCTGCTGCAGCCGGTTCCCCTCCTCTACAGGCGAACGCAGCAGCAGCAGCAGCAACAGCAGCAGCAGCAGCAGCAGGTGAGCAGCAGATGCATGCCCTACCCTTTGATGGCAGCCTAAGGCCTTCATTTCCCCGGGTGTCGCTGCAGCAGCAACAGCATTTTGCTGCTGCAAGCTCAGCTGTCTCCTCACCTGATGCTGCGTTTCTTCCTTTCAGAGGCCCCATAGGAGACAGCAGCAGCCCTGCTGCTGCTACTGCTGTAGCTGCTGCTGCTGCTGCTGCTGCTGCTGCTGAACGCGGAGCAGAAGGGAGAAAGGAGACAAACAGACGCAGAGAACGATCACCTTCTGCTGCAGAAGCAGCAGCAGCAGCAGCAGCTGCTGCTGCTGCTGCAGCAACAGCATCAGCAACAAGAGCAGCACCCGCAGCAGCAACACGAGCAGCAGCAGCGGCAACTCCAGCAGTAGAAGGGTTAGGTGAAAATGTAATTGAGGGACAGGAAGACCCCCAGACATATGCGCAGCAGCAGCAGCAGCAGCAGCAGCAACATGAAGGTGAAGCTGACAGGGGCAACTACCAGCATGCGAGTGATAATGAACAGCTCTTGCTGCAGCAGCAACAAGAGCTGCAGCAGCAGCAAGACCTCCGGCAGCAACAAGAGCTGCAGCAGCAGCAAGAGCTGCGGCAGCAACAAGAGCTGCAGCAGCAGCAAGAGCTGCGGCAGCAACAAGAGCTGCAGCAGCAACAAATCCAGCAGCAGCAACAACAAGATCTGCAGCAGCAACAAGAGCTGCTGCAGCAGCAACTCCAGCAGCAGCAACAAGAGCTGCTGCAGCAGCAACTTCAGCAACAGCAACAAGAGCTGCAGCAGCAACAACTCCAGAAGCAACAACAAGAGCTGCAGCAGCAGCTGGAGGTGCAGCAGCAACAAGAGCTGCAGCAGCAACTAGAGCTGCAGCAGCAACTGAAGCTCCAACAGCAACAGCAACAGGAGCAGCAGGAGAAGCAGCAACAAGAGCTGCTGCAGCAAGAGCTCCGGAAGCAGCATGTGCAGAAGGTATTGCAGCTGCTTGCTGAGCAGCCTTTGCAGGCAGAGCAGCAACTGCAGCAGGAGCAGCAGCAGCAGCAGCCTGTTGGGTCGCAGCTGCAGCACATAAACCAGCTGTACACTCAGCCGCAGCTGCAGCAGCAGGAAGACCAGTATTCGCTGCAGCAGAGCCTCCCGCAACAGCAGCAGCAGCAGCAACAGCAACAGCAACAGCAACAGCAGCAGCAGCAGACGGAGCAGCAGAAATATCTGCAGCAGCAATACGAAAAGCAGTACCAATACGAGCAGCAGCAGCAGCAGCAACAGCAGCAGCAGCAGCAACAGCAGCAGCAGCAGTTGCTTCCTGTCTCTGTTTCTCCTCCAAGAGATTGGGTTGAGGCAGGGCCTGGAGAGGGCTCAGCCCTAAACCCCTCTGCAGCTGCAGCAGCAGCAGCAGCAGCAGCAAGATACGGCAGCAACAGCAGCAGCAGCACACTGCAGTACCCTATATACAACGAGCAGCGGCAACAGCAGCTGCAACAGACGCAGCAGCAGCAGCTAGAGCAGCAGCAACTGCAGCAGCAGCAGGATGAAGAGTACTTAAAACAGCAGCTGCAGCAGCTTCAACTGGTGCAGCAGCAGCAGCAACTGAGTCATCCCGGTTTCTCTCAGCAGCCGCAGCAGCAGCAACAGCAACAGGTGCAGTCGTACCCCTACTCGCAGCTGCAGCAGCAACAGGCTCTGCAGATGCTACAGCAGCAGCTGCAGCAGGAGCAGCTGCTGCTGCAGACAGACCCGTCGCTGCTAGCTGAAACCCCTGCTTCAGACGCGCAACTGCAGCAGCAGTTTCAGCAGCAGCTGCAGGATCAGCTTCAGCAGCAGCTTCGGCAGCAGCTACAGGAACTGCAGCAGCAGCGGCAGCAGCCACAGGGTAATCCATCATCTCCTTCATCTTCTCAGCAGCAGCAGCAGCCGCAGCAGCAGACTCAGGTAGAGCCGATAGTAGGTGCAATTGAAGCAGCAGCAATTGCACTTCTCGCAGCAAATTCAATATTAAAGACAGGCGACAAAGTAATGAGTGCGCTTCCAGTAGAAGAAGTGCTGCAGCTGTCGCAGCAGCTGCAGCAATCGGGTTTCTTGCGCAGCAGAGGTGTGCAGGTCTTGGGCCTAAGGGCGCCGCTCTTCACAAATAATAAACGTGAGCTCTTACCTCCTCCTGGCGTCGGCAAACCCTTCGTTATTTGCGCGAGAAAAGGGATGACTTGCTGCGTCCCTGAAACCGCAGTGCTCAACTGGAGAGAACAACTGTAAGGGTTTGGGGTTTAGGGTTTAGGGTTTAGGGGTTAGGGTTTTGGGTTTAGGGTTTATGGGTTTAGGGTTTAGGGTTTAGGGTTTAGGGTTTTTAGGGTTTAGGGTTTAGGGTTTAGGGTTTAGGGTTTAGGGTTTAGGGTTTAGGGTTTAGGGGTTAGGGTTTTGGGTTTAGGGTTTAGGATGGCTAGCTGGCTAGCCCTTCACGAGCGTATAGCTGTTAGCTAGCTGTTTCTAGACAGCTAGCTATTACTGCGTGGCTAGCTGTTTATAGCTAGCTGCTTGTAGCTAGATGTTTATAGCTAGCTGTTTATAGCTAGCTGCTTGTAGCTAGATGTTTATAGCTAGCTGTTGATAGCTAGCTGCTTATAGCTAGCTGTGGTAGAGTGTATAGCCAGCTCGCTTTTTATCTTTATAAACAGCTAGCTAGATTATTTTTTCTCGCTTTGTTTGTTTAAGGAGTCCATACCAGTACAGCCTGAGTTTGTTTTATTTATTTATTTATTTATTTATTTATTTATTTATTTATTTATTTATTTATTTATTTGTAGGCCTTACCTGAACAACTTTAAGAATTCTCGTCGTTGTCGAGCGCACTTTGTTTCTGTTAAGAATGCACTTTGTGCTTCAACTAGCTATCCTCTTCATCCCTTTGAAGCTATAAATAATGAAGAGCAAGGTGCAGCATCTAATGCTGCTGCTGCTGTTGCAGCAGCAGCAGCTACTGCTGCTGTTAATGCTACTGCTGGTCCTGCTGCTAATCCTAACGGGGCTGCTTCTCCTGGTGCTGCTCGTGGTTCTGGTGCTGCTACTAATACTACAGCAGCAGCAGCAGCAGCAGCAGCAGCAGCAGCAGCAGCAGCAGCAGTAGGAGCACCAGACTATCGTGATAGTAATCTATGCGGCATGGGTATTGTTGAAACAAAAACATTTTGGGTGTATAGGCACCTCTTAGTTATTCAAGACAAAACTATGAACAACGCTGTCTGCGAATGTAAAGAGCCCAAGCAGCCTAATGAAGAGGTAAATAAATAAATAAATAAATAAGTATTTATTTATTTATTTATTTATTTATTGTTTAATTTAGTTTGTTGTAATTAATGTTTTATTCTTCTTTCCTTACTAATATATATTTATATCTTTCTACGCTGTTTGTGAATGTAAAGAACCCACAGAAGAGATGATATATAATATCTATATATATATATATATATATGCATATACTTATATGTATATATATACGTATATATATATATATATATGCATATATATATATTATGTTATCTTTTTAATCTTGTTCAACTTACATTAATGCATCTTAATACTTTTAAATTAATAAAATTTATTTATATCTTGTACATATTATATTTATTGTATTATTCATATAATGCTTTATACCAGCATGCAACTGCATGCATGCATTTAAAAGGATTTAAAGAGAAACTAATTAATAAGAAAAAGAGGAAGAAGAAAACAACAAAACAATTTTAAACAAGAACGAAAAAAATGAGGTGTATGATGAGCCCGATTATTTATCTGTTGCTTTTATTATTTTTTATATTATTTTTTATTATTCTTTTTATTCTTTTATTATTCTTTTATTATTATTTATTATTCTCTATTGTTATTTACTCTCTATTAATTTTAATTATCTTAGTATTATTATTTATTATTATTTATTATTATTTATTATTATTTATTATTATTTATTATTATTTGTTATTATTTACTATTGCCTTATCATTCTTTATTATTCTTTATTATTATTTTATTATTATTATCATTATTAATTATTATTATTTATTATTATTGTTTTTGCTTGGGTTATATTATTTAGGGTTTGCTGCAAATCGAAGGGTTTGCTAACTGGGAATATTCGCTGGCCGTAGTAAAACGACTGACAGACGAACAAAGAAGAAGTGAAGAATTCACACAAGTATAAACCCTAAACCCTAAACCCTAAACCCTAAACCCTAAACCCTAAACCCTAAACCCTAAGCCCTATCCTGGGTTGTTTGTTTATTTATTTGTTTGTTTGGTTGTTTTTTGTTTGCTTGACTATTTGCTTATTTATGTATTTATTTATTTATTTATTTGTTGCTTTTTGCTTTGTTCTGCTTGCAAGTGCTGCTATCTCTGTCTCTCTTTGTTTTCCTTCTATACTACAAAAACAGGTCTTCTTATTTATTTAATTATTTTAAACTAATTTTCTTTTATTTATTTAATAAGAATATTTTTTTCTTCATTTATTTATATTTAATATCTATTGTCAGTATCACTGAATAATTATTATATTTATTCATCTACTTATATTTAATAATATCTTTATTTAATATTTATTTGTTTATTTATAATTAATAATACATTTGTTTATTTATTTTGATCAAATTATTTAATTTATTTTTAATTATATTTATTTATATTTATTTATATTTATTTACTTGCAGAGAGTTGGGCAGGCGATTGCGCTGACGTCTGCACTTCGAGCGCAGCAGGGGGTCCTCAGCACTATGGCAGCGGTAAATAATAAATAAATAAATAAATAA